GGACAAAAAGGATGTTAGAAACAGCAGAGATGAAAACACTTAAAAAAATTTATGGTAAGACACTATGGGCCAGAGCTAGAAGTACAGATATACGACATAGACGTAAGGTGGAGAACATTAAGGACTGGATAAGAAATAGAAGAGTAGAATGAAACGATTTTATTAGCCGAGTGACAGCATATAGAGTAGTAAAGACGGCAAGAAACGGTTCCCCAATAAGAAGACGATTAGTAGGAAGACCACGAAAACGATGGAACGACAACTTACTGGAGACACATTGAAAAAGAGACAGATTCATGTCTATATAAAAGAAGAAGAACAAACTATAGTGAACATATTTATTTGTAATAATAGAAGCAAAAAGTGGGGAGAATTCAGGGAAGACAACTAAATTTTTTTAGATATTTAATCACGATAAACGATAAGCGATATCCGAAGAAATATTAAGGTACATTCCGACAAAAAGAACGAATAGACAAGTACTTTCATAGTCATGTAAGAAATACGTAGGAGAGCCGAAAGCAACACACGTCGCAGAAAAACCATAATTTCTTTTTGTTTTGAGCTAATCTTATAGTGGCTTCCCACGATCGGCAATTCTACAGATCATCGCGAACAGCCGATCAGCACGGACGGCAACCCACCGCAGACAGAGCTCTTCCTACGGTCCGTGCCAGTCTGTGAAGGTCCGTGACAGTATTGTTCGATTATATCATAAAAAGGCCACCCAGGCTTGTAAACATCATCAGCCACACTACCAGTTCCCATCGATTCTGTAACTTTTGTTTTTTGCCTTTTGCATGTCGACATTAAGTTATCTCTCTTCTTTTTTAATTCTTTAATCGAAATAGTAATATTCTTCAATTGATTTTTTTATTCGGTTGCATGCATCGTTCCGGTTCTTATGTGCATCTTGATACAAATTTAAAAACTCAAAAACAACTTGGTTTGTCCATTCTATTTTTCAGTAAAAAACTGCAAAACAACTTTGACAACACTACAGACAACTACTCGTGTCAGCGAATGAAAAACTTCTGACTTCCACTTGTCGTCTATTAAAACACAGACGCGCTAGGATCGCGTCGCACGAGCATGTACCGCACCTTTGATGTTACCGACTCTAGATGGATAGGACTATAGGACGCACCAGGACGGACGTGCCTGTGCTACCACGGACGAGACCCTTCCCACGGTGCGTGGTGCGTGCTGGTCCGCTTGCGTCCGCAATATCGCCGACCGTGGGAAGCCGCTATTACATGCCAAGAGATTCAGAAGCAAATTTGGAAATTGAAGAAATTCGGTAATAATTGGTAAAATAGGTAATACTTAATTGTATGAAAGCTAAGAATAATATTCTTGAAAAAAAAAATACATTAATTTTTATAAAAAAACAAATATTTATTCTAAGAATTTGCATAACAGTCGTATGTTAATCTATACCACCTAGAAATTTCAATATACGACAAATCATTTATTTCTCTTTGTTTATTAATCTATTTCTAACGGAAAAGTGTAAAATTCCTTAACTATTAATACAATACAACTTATCTGTAAATGAATTGTTTTTTACTGATATAATTTGTTATTTCCAAACAGCAACGATTTCATTTTAAAATCATTTTAATTTTTTAAGGAGTCAGTGCTTTCTGTACTCTATCCTTTTATTGTTTCTTTTGCTTATTAAAGTAGCTACTGTATGCTTGGCCTCTATTTAACTGATCCTTGGTTTCCGGTGGTTCCATTGCTCACTTCCGCTTTTATTAATTTATTTGTACTAATGTAGCATTGTTTATATATCAAGATTGCCTGAAGTCAACTTTTAACACCTTACCAAAAACTTTACTATTTTTATTGGGAAGAAACCACAGTTGTGCTTTAAAATAAGTTTATCGTGACGTTTAGATTTTCGTTTCGAAAATCGTCCTTTTTCCAAAAGATTGTAAAATTGTAATTAAAATTTAAATTGTATTAAGATGTCACAAGAAGAAAAATGTCACAGTTATCTACAAGAAATGGAAATATCAAGACGAACATACCCAATTCGTCTTTAGAAGCGGTTTGGAAACTTGAAACGTTCTATTCTCGCTCAACGTACTTACAAGAGAGCTCGGGACATGAACGTGGAAGTATACGACTGCTTCATAGACTATCCTTAAGCTTTTGAGTGTTAAAGACCAGAAACTAGCAGAAATACTCAGAGCAAAGAGTGTAGATGAGGGTGACTTAACAATGATTACGGAACTTTAGAGGCATCTGGTAGTTCAAGTAAGGGAGAAGAGGAGGAGATAGCAGATAAAGAGTAACATATAGATAAGAAAGAGGGTACGATAGGGATGCATACTATTCCCACTACTACTATTTAATCTGGATTCCGCAAAATATCTTCGCCAAAGCTCTTAAAGACTCTAGAGCCAGACTTAAAATCAACAGTAAAGCAATTAATGATATAAGATGAGCAAAAGATACAGTCGTTATTGCCAGCAGTTTGGTAGAACTTCAGTATAGGCATTACGGCCTATATATGAACATCAATAAGGACAAATTAATATAGGTAAAGGAATAATAAATAAGACTTACTCACAATCAATTTAATTTAACTATCAGACGACCGCTTTCGCTTTCTATAATTTGCAAAGCATCTTCAGATCTCTATACAAAGTTAAATAAATGCTGAAATGATAAAAACCCATATTAGGGTGTTGTCTAATAAAGATAAACAAATTAGATGTTGTAAATTACAATAATTATGCCAATATTACATGTCTGTGGTTTTAATTTCAAAATGAGTAAGTTGAATAAAAAGGTATAAAAAAGTTTTAAAAGTTTAAACAGACAAGGTAAGACTCACAAATTGTTATAAAACAGTCTATTAGATTGTAATAAATTAATAAATGAGCAAATAAATAAACATTACTTTACCTGCCAGTACTCTATTAATTAATGGATGGTAAAACATGGTTGAAACTACTATGTATTGTTGAATGGAGAACTCAATTCTGCTATTGTAGTTGTTTGACAGTAAACGGGAAGTTCTTGAGGAGATTGATTTGATCCAATGAAGCAGAGATATGTGTGTGATTGTTTGTTAAATGAAAGTGATGTTATATACCATTGTATTATTTAAAAGTTATTTATACTTATTCGAGAGATATATTTATGAAATGTGTGTTATTTATTGAGTAATTGTTTTATGAAGGTGGCAGTTTTATGACAATGAATAAGTTTAGATGTACAAATTGTGTGGGTGTGCAATTATTTTTCAACGTATTATCAAATTTCTTTGATAAAGTTCTATTGGCAAAATAGTAGATTATTGCAAAGTCGAGTAAATAAAATATTAGAATTAAAACAATTGCAATAATCTACTATTTTGCCAATAGAACTTTATCAAAGAAATTTGATAATTACAAGTTGAAAAATAATTGCACACCCACACAATTTGTACATTGTCATAAAACAATTACTCAATAAATAACACACATTTCATAAATATATCTCTCGAATAAGTATAAATAACTTTTAAATAATACAATGGTATATAACATCACTTTCATTTAACAAACAATCACACACATATCTCTGCTTCATTGGATCAAATCAATCTCCTCAAGAACTTCCCGTTTACTGTCAAACAACTACAATAGCAGAATTGAGTTCTCCATTCAACAATACATAGTAGTTTCAACCATGTTCTACCATCCATTAATTAATAGAGTACTGGCAGGTAAGTAATGTTTATTTATTTGCTCATTTATTAATTTATTACAATCTAATAGACTATTTTATAACAATTTGTGGGTTTTACCTTGTCTGCTTAAACTTTTAAAACTTTTTTATACCTTTTTATTCAACTTACTCATTTTGAAATTAAACGCACAGACATGTAATATTGGCATAATTATTGTAATTTACAACATCTAATTTGTTTATCTTTATTAGACAACACCCTAATATGGGTTTTTATCATTTCAGCATTTATTTAACTTTGTATCGAGACCTGAAGATGCTTTGCAAATTATAGAAAGCGAAACCGGTCGTCTGATAGTTAAATTAAATTGATTGTAAGTCTTATTTATTATTTCTTTACCTATTTGAAATGGACTCACACAAGCAACACATTCATGATTTGACAAATTAATAATTTTCCCGAAAATTAAAACACCAGCTGTCCTTCGAATACACAACATTATCTATCCACGAACCAACGACGTCCTTCAAATACCTGGGTGCTCTACTGAACAGCAGTTGCGATTCGACGAAAGAAATTTTGTCAAGAATTGAACAGGCTAGGCTAGACAGAAGTTTATTAGCATGAAGAACTTCTTTATCATACGCGACCTAGACTTTAAACTGAGAATACGTATGCTACGTTGCGAGAGCTGGATCCTTAACCCTTCGTTAGAAAAACGCATCGACGCTTTTGAAATGTAGCTTTATTAGGAGAATACTACGCATTTTCTGATCGAAAAGAATATCAATTGTCGAAGTTCTTAACATAATGTAGAAGAACAAGGAGCTGATGTCAACGATCAAGGAGAGTAAGTTAATATACAGCGCACATATAATGAGAGGAGATAGGCATGAAATACTTCGGTTAATCATCCGAAGCAACATTGAGGAGAAGATGTCAATAGAAAAAGAGAATTCCAAGCTCAAGGATCTACGCCGGTACCTCGGCAAAACATCATCCGAAATATTTGAAACCACCATTTCATGTTTAAATATTTTATGACATTCGCCGTCATAGCACTGACGGTGAACTCTCGCATTTAAAATTATGCATTTATTCTACAGAAAATCGATAAGATGATACCATCCCATCGTCCGAGTGAGGGTCGGCGCCTCGTTATGAACGCACGCTTAGGCGGTAAACGGAAACGGACGTACATGATTCTAAGACCTGGTGTTTTAAGTTGTGACTGTACTACAATCTATTGCATCTATCGATCTTTTTTATCTCAGGAAATATACAAACATAATATTAAAATCAGACTACTTACCGCATTGACCTTCTGAACAATCTTCCTCGACTATGGCTTCATCAGGAGTAAGTGGAATGCTATTGTATCTTCCAATATCTGGACATTCGCCGTACATGTCAGCCTCATCAGTCAAACTATAGGAAGATCCAGCCGAGTCTGTGGAACAGCCTACGCTTGGGGGACTTATAGGACTACCCGAGGGAGGACTATGGGAGATATCCCTTCCATGAGAGCGATAAGGAGCTAGATATGGTCTCCACGACGTTAGTTGATGATTACCTTCGCTCGTGGTGCGCGGTCTCGATGGCATACTGTCGCATCTTTCCCGACCTGTAAGACGAAAATAAGCATTGAAATGACAGATTTTATTAAATTAATAAGTTCAAGCAGAAATAAATTTAGCGAAGCTAGATAAAAACTGAAAAAGTAAAGTTGTGTTTCAACGATAGCATGTTAAGCAACTATTTCTAGGTTAATTGCAGTAAAGCGTTACAATTTGTTACAACGATGTTCAAATTTTAAAGATAGAGCCAGCTGCATTGCATTTTTACAAAATGTAATTGTAACGTAATGAATTGTAATAAAAATGTAACATAATGAAGAGTCTAATTCTCAGTATCAAAAACATATTTCCAAAAGACAGTATTCAGGTGATTTGGAAAAAATCATACCCTTTGGGACGTATATATCTCATACCACCGTATGGTATTTCGCCTTTTGGATTAGTTGAGTGTTGCGGTTATTCAGAACCCTTTAAATTTAAATATTGTACACAGCGTGCAACTGAAGGCTTCCTTCTAACATATTTTATGATCCATAGAACTTAAATTAATAAATTATTGGGTAACTGAACTAAGGCAGTTGTTGCTCATACTTTTTATGAAGTTTCAGCGACTTAATCATTAAAAATATCGCATCATATGCACTGGTTGTCAGGACACATTTTGTAAAATATTTTAAAAGGTATCCTGAAATTGTATTTGTGTATGTGTCTGCAAAGATCTTGTAACAAGCTCTCAAACGATGTAATTCTTGCCAAATGATTCCTTTTAAAATAATCTTAAGTAAACGTCGCTCAATCTACCAAAACAAGAAAGGTACCTTAGGTCAGTTACGAAAAAAAATATTAATTTAAATGTTATTGCTCAGAAAATAAGACGAAGCAATTGTTTAGCACAAAATAATTAAAACGAATCTTTTGAAAACTGAAAATGAAAATTGTATGTTGAAAAAAACTTAAAATTAAATTCAAATGTAATTATTAACAATAATTACAATTTATGGCAAAAGATCTTCCTCCACTAAATATAGTTGAAGGTAATTTCTATTTATATTTTCACCCATTTTAGGTGAGGTTTCCATAAAATTTGTCCAACAGTTAATCAATTTGGATGTAAACTTTAGTAAACATGATGTGAAAAACATATTAGCTTCTAGAAGGATGGAAGGAACTTTAGGATAGTACTGTTTGTTACTCTATACTGAGGAGTAGGCAGATTGAGACACCCAACTGGAACGAAACCATATCCCTGTTGATAATGGCCCCAAAATGGGTGTCTAAACGTCGAGTGATAAATTCTCAACGCGATTCTTCCTGAGAACTTAGTAATTTTCATTTATCTGAGCGCGGAAATTTATTCGAGCATAACTGCTGGTACGAGGCTCTGTTAACACCTGACCAGGCCATGATATTACAACCACAATGGGTTCAACTTTTTTTTTTTAATAAAAATAATAGTAGAGCGTACAGAAGTAAATAGATTACTTATAAAGATAGTGAAATGAAAGTGAAGATTACTCAATTATTCATAAATTTAAGTAGTACCTAATTTTTAATACAGTATCACTATACAAGCACTTATTCGGCGCCAGAATAAACTGTTTTGGGTAAAATACCTGCCACAAATGTTCATATTATTTGAACATTTGTAAATTGTTCTCGGAACCACTTTTTATCAACATTACCATTAAATCGTAAACAGATAAGGAAAATATTGTAACAACAATAATTCTATAATATTTACTAGATATATCATTCAATTAATATTGATATTTTTTTGATAACGTGTGATTTCCTTTAAACCACAACGTAATACAATCTATTCATGTTTCAATGAATCAGTTTTATCCTTAATATTCTGGCTAAAAAACAGGTCAAATATAATTTCGAATATGATACAGTACAGCGGATGTTTATATCGTACACGTGTAAGAAACTGATCGTAAACAATGAAAGATTAAACTGGTAAAAAATATTACACTACAGTACAGATTCTTTTTCTTTGGTAACAAATGCAGTTTGTATGCCAGGAAGCTGACTAACTCTGAGAACTGAAGAGCGATAATCATACTAACCAGCTCCTTTAATATGGATAAAAATTTATATTGATCTCCTTTAATATTGATATTGTTATCAGGAGATCAAGAGAGTAGCAACACTAGCCTAAATAAAATTTGCCATAACCAATCAAAAAATACTTGTGGCATCAAGTAGCACCTCTTTTCATATTAGACCTAATAATAGACCAGTCAATGACCATTTTCCCGCATAATTTTCTGATCCTGCACTTCCTGAACTTCAAAGTTGGCCCTGTGCTTTTATCCTGGGTGGATGTCACCCTTTCTCGGGGGTAAAAAATAGAGTGGTGGGTTTATGGTATCTGTAGCCTCAATACAAGCGGAGAAATAGATTATTGGAAGAGTCTTCTTCGTCAAACGCCAAAATTAAAAGTTTTAACGTGAAACATTAAGAAATTACGTTTTTTGTAGCGCTTGAAAAAATCTTTATATTTAATGTAAAAGTCTCTACCAATCCTAAGAGAGTTATGACAAAAATAATATTCCGTATTTTTTTCAGCGACAAAAAACGTGAAAATTACCCCCTAATTATCAACCTAACTAAAAATATCCGCTATCCCTTTACAATTCACTTTGTTAATGTACTTATAGCATGCTCTAGAAGTTTGGCTTGTTTAAAATGTTTAAATTTGAAAAAAAAATTGAGTTTGATGTAAGGAAGATTTTTGTACTTTTATTATAAAAAATTCACTTGTTTTTCAAATAAATCGAAAACTATTAGAGATGCGTAAAATTTTAGGTTTTGCTTTTCTTTATGTAGTTTTACATGTAGTTTTCGATTTATTTGAAAAAAGGGATTTTTTTTAAATGTAAAAATCCTCCTCTCACTTCAAACTCAATGTTCCTCAAAGTGAATTGTAAAGGAACAACGATTATTTAAAAAAAAACCTGAAAACTGGAATACGTAGGCCACGTGAGGAGACCAAAATATGAAATTTTGAGACTCACAATACAGGAAAAGATTCAAGGACGAAGACCTGTTGGCCGAAGGCAGAACTCATGGCTGAAGAACCTACGTGATTGGTATCAATGCAGATCGATTGATTTGTTTAGAGCAAGTTCAAAAATAAAAATACCCATTATCATTGCCAACCTCTACTTTAAAACCTTCAAAATACTGAACCTTATTTTCCTCAGAGCTCCCTTAGGATTGATAAATACTTTTATAAATCAAAAAAGTTTTCAAACGCTACAAATAGGTTCTATAAGCTTTACACGAAAAATACATGGGTTTCTTCATATTTCACGTTACAACTTTCAATTTTGGCGTTTGTTGAAGAAGAACAAACTTTCAATAAGCTATTTCTCCGCTTGTATTAGAGCTACATACACCATAAACCCACTATTATATTTTTAAGCTACATTTTTATAATATTGTATAAAATACATATTTTTGAGTAATTCGCAATAAAATCGTTGGAAAGAGTCTTTTTTTTGTAAAAAATTGACATTTTCAAAAAAGTATTGAAAATTTATTTCTAAATTCGATAAATTATTTTTCCAAAAGTATTGAAAACACGTATAGGGCCAAAGTTGCTTAACATTGGTTAATATATTAATTCCCAGTGTTATTTTTAATAAAAAAAATATTCCAGCGGAGGGGTTGGATCCCCCAGGGTAAAAGCACCCTATGGTACGGGGTCAACTTTGAAGTAGAGAGTAAGTAGAACCTATAGCCAAATTTTGGTGCAAATCGGTGCAGACTTATAAAATTATACAGTTGCGCTGTATTTTGCCTTCATTGCATAGAGTACAAAACGTGTATTAGGAACTCTGTAGACTTCTCCCAAACTCGTGGAACCAAAACGCATCAAATCAATAACAATAAACGGTGTGTCTATGGATCGAATAGAAATAAAAATTTGAAAAAAAGTACACATTTAGCACACTTGGGATGTTTTCTTAAGAGCTACAACTCCCGTCCTAAAATATGGTGGTAGTAGAATTTAAACATCATAGATACCCAAGAAGAACTATTCAGACAAATTAATGTGCGACAATGAAACATGGTACATAAAATATGTCCTAATAAAACTTATCTATGAAACTTCACATGCTCTTTGATATAATGGAAGGCGGCTCATGAAAGAGTACATTGGGTTAATATGTACTAATATAAAGTTCTTAAATATCACAAAGGACTTTCTTCTCCAAGTGGAAGAGTGACATAAGTCGCGTTTGGAGACTATATATGAGTGTCCCAGACGTAGAAATGATCAGATTAAATGGCAGCATTATTACCTACTCCGACATACTTGTATAAAACTAAAACTTGCGACAAACAGTTCCACGCATAAGACTGAAGAACAAAAATCATCGCCTGGACAATAATATGGGCATTCAAAAGATCAGAGGACTATCTTTTAGGATGAGTGCTAATTATAGACATACCAAATACTAAAATTGGATCCTGCACCTTTTGTAGGTAGGACCGATATACCCAGCAGAAATTCTTAAATTCCCCATAGGAAAGTTGCTGGGTTATTTCGGAGTAACAGAGTTCTATATATTTATCTTGAAGCTTAATGAAAGGACAAGGTTTGATACACGAGTCTCACGATCTATGTATCAAATAAATATTCGGTAATAAACTCTTCTACAGAATAATACGGTCGTTCAGATAAATAGGATTTTGTCATTTTACGGAACTTAAGGAAAGAAGTTGAAGATTTAAGTTGCAAAGAGAGATGGTTGTATGATTGGAACTAACTCAGTAGATGATAGGTAAATACACATCAAAAGTTTAATTTCTGGTGGAGTAGTCATGATTGCAATCACCTGAGATTTGCAGACGATGTTGTATTAATCGCAGATAATTTACAAGATACTTAATATAGAATAGGCCTAATTTGGGTAGCATTTGGTAAATAAAAAGCCATATTCTAAAAAGTTCAATTCCCATGTGTCTCAAGCGAAAGGTTTATAACCAATGTGTTTTACCTGTACAAACTTATGGAGCAGAGACTTTAACA